GAATGATATGCGACATGACCTCTTTCGACCAACTTCGTGACCTGGGGGTGCTGACCTGACCTTGACCTGAGGTCAACACCCCAAATTGACCTGACCCAGACAAAAAGTATATCATTCGACGCGCCTGAGCGAGACGAACACGATGCTGCCAAAATCGGCGCTCTGCGGCCGTTTTTTGCGAAGTTATTTACCAAAAACTGAACCGTACCTTGGGGCACTTGACCTGACCTCAGAGGTCACCGGTTGACCTGGGACCTTAAAATCGGGTACCAATCTCTGCGTCTCGTAACGGCGCACACGCTCGTTTTTTCTGCGACGCGCTAGCTCCACCAGGGGCGAAACGGCGAGGGGGGGTCGTACCCGCCCCCCCCCCCCTCGGCCGGCGCGTATGTAGAAAACCAATAGGTCCGGCGAGGGTTAAATGCTAAATTTCATTGAAAAGATGAAGTTGTCTGATTTTATGACCATAGATGGTCATCGCCCCGCCCACTCCAGCCGCTGATTGGCTAATCCAATTTTTGTTTGGCTCCTCGTAGTTTCCCCAACTGAACTCAGACAGGACTGAGGGACTCTGTTTTTTATGAATCAGGACTGAGGTAGGGTCCTGGTCAGAACTGGGACAGGGTCATTTCCTCCGGGGGTCCGGACTGAGGCAGGTTCATGTTCTCTGCAGGTCCGGACTGCGACAGTGCTCTGCTCTCCGCGCGATCTGGCCGGGCGCAGTAGCCGCTCATATTATGACAAAAGTTGGCACGGGATCGCCACCAATACCGAAGAGCCGCTCAACGCCCGACTGCAAAAGAAGTCGGGGAAAGTTGGGGCAGCCAATCAGCTCGTCTGCCCACCCCCGCCACAGCCCACTCCCGCCCCCCGGCCTATCTCTGAGTCTGGTCTGACCCCCACACGGCTCTTTCGGCCGCCTGGCCTATCCCTGGTCTGACCCTACCATGCACTTCCGCCCGGCCTCCAAGCGGCCGGAAGGGCCCTCACCCACCCGGGCCCTCACCCACACGGCACCTCGCGGACCCGGCACTGTAAAAAAATGTCACGAGCCAATTCTATGACAAGGAGTGGGTTACACGGTCGTCCATTGTACCTTGCTGTTATATATAGGGACATTATCAGCCTGAGAGTTGTTAGTTAAAGAGTGCCCTCGTGAAACAATTGGTTACAAACGGTAACCTAATAACTTAAATGCTTCCCTAACACCCCTTCCTGCTTATCAACAGATTTCGCGCTGTGTCGGAAAACTACGCATAGTCTCATAATTAAATCCGCCAGAAGCTTGTTGCATGCTAGTTACATGCGTGTTTCATTATCGTGTCATATTATTATTATGTCGGCTAATGAGGCACCGCCCTGCACGTGCTTTAAATATAATCCTGCGCACACGCCACCTAGTCGGAAACTCATCATCGGACTAGTCCTGGTAGGGTTTTCGTGTTGCCGAATGAGGCGAAACGACTTTGATTCGGTAGTGCCTCATAAATCCCTGCTACGGTGAGCAGCGACGAGTCTGAGACTGCTTCTAAAACGCGTCCTTCACTTCCGGCGCGGGGCCGTCATTTCCGGCCGCCATTGTTCAGTTCTGCGGCTGCCGGCGGTTGGTGCGGTTGTGTTGTGGCACGGTGCGTCGTGAAGTTCTCGGGCTGGGATATTTCGAAGGTACGTTATATTGTATGATATTTACGTAGCAATGGGGGACATTTTATTTATTTTGTAATATTCTGAACACATGTTGCGTCATAGAATTCACCCCTTGACCGTTGTGGGCCACTGTTTCGTTTGAATTCCGACTGTTGGAAGACGGACTTTCTTTCAGTTGCTGTCTAGCCTTTTTTTCCAAATGTGTAAGCTACACATATTGCCTCACATTGATTTATCTTATACAAAAGTCAGTTGATGTAGATAATAAAGACATCCTCACTGATATTTTAAAATCAGCAGTTAATTTTCTTTTCTGTTTGCAGAGCTGCTTAAAGTTGTGGGAGACTGAGGCATGAAGGTATACCGAAAGCCAGCGATATTTCTGTTGGTAAGCCTCGCCCAGAAAAAAACTTGCTTGGATCTGCAAAGTATGGCAAATATTTGATGGACTGCACAGTGCACAATGTACCTGACATGGCAGGATCAACTTGCTCACTCGCCTGTTGTAAGTGCCGTTGCGTCAAAGCCCGTGGAAGTGCCCGATCGTGTCTCATGCAACCGTATTATTTTGTGAATGTTATTGGTGGCGACTCGAATCAGCTTTTGCACCACTCCGCTATGATATTGTAATATGTATATATTTAGATATTTTGTATCGTATGCTAATAAGTAATAAACGTTATTTTTGTGTATGTTTTTTGTAACGTGGCTGGCACCCTGTCGTGGCTGTCGTTGGCCGGGTCGTCCACCAGTCGGAGGGGCGGCTGGGGAGAAGGAGGGGGGGGGGTGACGCAATTGAGCTAGTATTACTACTGGGCAGCAATAGCAGGCGCTAGCTGGTTGGGTTACCAGGCGAGTCCTGCTAAGAAGCCTAATCGGCGTACCGATCTGCTGGTTTTGCCCTCGTTTTCAAACGAGGTACCGAATAACGAAACGAGGGGCTGACACGGGGGTGCTCGGTTTATGAGGCGTGGGCTTGTCATTTACTAACGAAACAAGCTTGTACTCTCTTACTAGCTAAATATGAGGCGATTTTTACACGTCGCTGCATGCTCATTTTTGCGCCAGCGGTTTTCCTACAAGGGGCTTGTAAGATTTTTTTACAGTGGGCCTAACCCATCCGTGGGCCGTCGACGCGATGGTCAGTGGTCGATGATCATCTCCCTGGCACCCAGTAGCCGTTTCGGGTGAGGTGCGTGTTGCGCGCTGGTCCCAGAACCCAGGCTGGCCCGCTGCAGCTGCGTCCAGCGCGGCGGACGGTGTGCGGAGGCCGAGGGAGTCGGCACCGGGACGTTTCGCTCTGCCCGGCGAGGTGGATGCGCGTTCCGTCCCGTTGACAGTGGCGGCCATACCGGCTGGACTGCACTGTCCGCGGGTCAGGGTGCGTGTCACCCCTCCGCGCCGGGCGACGGAGCGGTGCGTGTCCCCGGGCGGCCTCTAATTAGCCCCGCGGCCGCTGCTAACTGGATCTGATTTGGCGTCGCGTGCCGTCCCTGCCCGGCGGCCGAACGGCCGGGTCGGGCACGGTCCGAGGATGTCCAGACACGGGCCACTCCCTACCGCCCATGTAAAGTCTATTCTTGGAGACTATCCTGAGACGGACCAGCCGACGAGACGAATCGGAGACGGTTCGAGTGGGATCAGAATTACGGCCGGCCTATCTCCTGCTCTCAAAGGTAGAACCGCACGGCCTCGGCGACGGGTTCGAGCCTTAACATTCCATAAAACACACCGTATCAGAGTGTCAGGTATACCGAAACTTACAAGTATCGTATATGCAGGTGAAAAACTGGCAGTTTGCAACGCTTGTGTCACGACTAAAGCGCAACCGAGTTATGGCGAGTGAATATCACAGCACAGATTACATACACACACACACACACACACACACACACACCCACACACACACACACACACAAATATTACATTCAGTGGGTATCAGCTGTTCCCTAACACAGTGAGGAGTGGGTATTGCATTTGAAAGCGCAGCCCCGTGCCGTGTGAGAGCGTGATCCTACCACGCAAAACACCATCGTCGCCACACGCAAAACACCATCGCGGCTACACGCAAAACGCCATCGTCGCCACACGCAAAACACCATCGCGGCCACAATATGGCAGTATGGGTGGCGACACCCGGCGATACTGGCGCAACATAGCAGAGATATGGAAACAGCATTACGGTGCTTTGAAGACCACGTTGCAGTGATATTGCACAGGGGAACTTTCGTGCGGGTCTGAAATCTTGACATGCTTTATTTTGACATCTCGTTTTGCTGGAGCTGTTTGGAATGTTCATTGCTCAGCATGTCATTTAATATTTTTTATGAGTTTCCATCAGGAGGTGAGGACCAGGCAATGGTTGCTGAGAGTAGATTTCATGCCTTTTTGTATAAAACATGTCGAAAGTTGTCTCCGTCTGTCCGTCTGTCCGTCTGTTCGTCTGTCCGTCTGTCCGTCTGTCCGTCTGTCTGTCCGTCTGTCCGTCTGTCCGTCTGTCCGTCTGTCCGTCTGTCCGTCCGTCTGTCCGTCTGTCCGTCTGTTCGTCTGTCTGTCTGTATGTCTGTCCGTCTGTCCGACTGTCCGTCTGTCCTGCTCTCTGCCACCACTTGCCGACCGCTCTGCCGGACGGCAAATAAAGCGCCGCCTTTCGTCACGTCGCCGAGCGCAGACGGCGAGGCTTTTCTGAAGCGGGAGCTAAGTGAATAATTCACCTCGCTGACGGTCTGACCCAGCTGACTAATTACGCCCGGCTCTGGCGCGGACTGCGCCGCCGGCACAGAGCAGATGATTGCGTCCCAGCCGGGCGGCATCCGTCACTGCAGCCCGAGCGTACCGGCTGACCCGGCCGGCGCTCCTACCCGACGGAGTCTGATAGGAGGGCGCTCACCAGCCCCCACTTCTCAGCTCACATAGGGCTCACAGGGCCGGCTCTGAATTAGGAAACTGACTCTGATAGGAGGCCATTCACCAGCTCACTTCTCCCGGACCGAGCCGACTCTGTTAGCAAACGGAATCTGATCGGAGCCCATCCAGCGCGCGCCCTCAGTGCGAGTTGTTCGCGCTCCTTCCGGCAGCATCCAGAGACGGACCGGCTGCCGTCGGCCACTCCCCAGCCCGGCGGCCGGCCTGCCTTTGGCCGATCGCCATCAGCTGCGGTCTTTGCCGCCTCTGTCGCCGTCTTTGTCGTCTCTGACAGCATCCGTCACCGTCTCTGAGAGTATCTGTTAGTCTCTGACTCTGTCACCTCTGCCACCGTCTCTGACACCGCTCGTCTCTGAGAGTCTCTGACAGTCGCTGTTGTCTCTGTCGTCTCTGCCTCCGTCTCTGACACCGTTCGTCTCTGTCCGCAGATGGGGTCGGCTCGACCGAGTGCCGTCGGGAGAGGCTGCCCAGTAGCGCGCTCTACACGGGCCCCTACTTCGACGCGACGATGCCGACCAATGTGACGGCCCAGCTGGGCACCCACGCCTTCCTGCCGTGCATCATCCAGCAGCTGGACGACAAGTCGGTACGTCCTCGGGCGGCCACCGGGCGACGAGGCCGCGCCAGGCTCCCTCCCGCCGCCCAGGGCAGTCGCCCGGCCCCCGGATCAATGCACCTCGTTTGGCATTCGCTGAGGACAGTCATCACAATATAACCGCCTCTGTTTGGAATCTGGCTGCTGGTCGGCCCACGACAATGAGTCACACGATGGCCCACTGATTCGACAGCTTAGCGCTGGCCGCGGTGCATATCTTACTCGTTGGGGGCGTCACTAAAGGCAACAATGAGCAATCGTTGCTCATTGAGGGGATGAAAATTGAACTGAATGTTATGGCTGTGTGTCGTTAATCGGTCTGGAGAGCCGAGTCGTTACCGACCGCTGTGCGTCTGCCAGCCGTCCTCATTGACATCGACAGCGGTCCATTACCTCGGAGCCGGGATATTGAGCCTGGTCTACGCATAAGGCGGCGCACTGAGCCCCGCTACGGCCGACATGGGCATACTATTGAGCCTCATAGACGACTATTGGACAGCGTGCAGCGGCCCGGACAGTCGGAGAATGGTACTCTCTTACGAGAATGTCGGACCCCTGGGCCTTACAGAAGGCCATTCTGAGAGAAAATGAGCAGTCGCTGACACCAAATAATCTATTATAAAGTTAGGTACTTTTAAACAGAACAATGCTTTGGAAGCGGGATATATGTAAATCATATAGCTTCGACTTAATACTTTTTAGATGAAATATGCGTTGGGTAGAAACTAAAATGCGTTGAAAGAAACAGACTGAACAAAACATGTAATGCTTCAAAACATCAGGCTGTGTAGCCAACGCCAATGTCTACTTTGTATTGATGAGAGGGTACTTGGCTCAGCTTGGTGAATTGATCTGGAATGACCTATGCCTGAAATTTTCCCTTGATAACAGGACACATCATAAGGTATGGTAAGAACAGCGACACTAACCACGATAGCATTGCCGTTTTAATCTATCTGCGGGAATAATATGAGGACCGGACATGAAAATGTCCCTCCCATCCCCCCTCCGCCACAGCTCGAGTCAATTCCCCACCGCTCGATGCTCGCTCAGTGCTCACCTGAGCTTGGCGTCCCTGTGTCAGAGCTCGCGACATCCCATCTGGCGGCGATCCACCCATCGCACAGTGGCCGCGCGCTGTAAACCGAATGTGTCCCAACGCCGAATAAAACGGCCGACCGTGGGGCTGCAGTGGCATTGGCAAATGTGTCTGGGCCGTGATGGAATAACCACTGGGGAACGAATAAAACGGGCGACACGCTCCGGAATAACAGACCGAATGGCATGCACACACAAACGGACGAAATTGGGGCTTACCGTAATGCTGCATGAATGAGGAGAGGCTGTGCAAAACGAGAGCAATGTACTTAATGTTATGCAACATGATCGAAGAGTAAAACCTGAGTTTTGGGATAGTGAAGAATGTGAAACGATTGAAGAATATGAAATATACTCATAAATGCTTTCGTTTCGGCTATCAGAATAAAAAAATCAACACCCATGGATATTTTGTACTACGAATGTGTGTAGCCTAAATTTTGGGTACATGCATTGCCGGTCGACCCGGCAGCCGTTTAGCATAGACTCTAACTGCTCTTTTCTGCCCCGTCACCCTGCCTGCAGGTGTCCTGTCCCCCTGTGTGCAGATCGCCCGTCCTGCAGCTGTCTGTGTGACCCGTCGCCCGGCCCGCAGGCGTCTGTGTGACCCGCGCCCCCCGTCCCTCAGGTGTCCTGGGTCCGTAACCGGGACTCCCACATCCTCACCGTGGACCGGTACACGTTCATCGCCGACGAGCGCTTCCAGTGCTTCCACGTGGACAACTCGGAGACGTGGACGCTGCAGATCAAATACGTGCAGACACGCGACGCCGGCCTCTACGAGTGTCAGATCAGCACCGAACCCAAGATCTGCCACATCGTCACACTGAACGTCATAGGTGAGTCAGAGTGGGGCGCTGCGCGGAGGGCCGGGCTGGGTCAGCGGCGGAGGGCCGGGACAGCGGCGGCGGGCCGGGCCGGGCTGGGACAGCGGCGCCGGGCCGGGACAGCGGCGCCGGGCCGGGCTGGGTCAGCGGCGGCGGGCCAGCCCGCAGGTTCAGCGGCGGGGCCGTGTGGAGAGCTCTGAGACACTGGGAGAACAGCGTCGGCCCGCGCGGGGCTGCTGTGGAGCAGTGGGGCGGTCCGCGCGGGGAACCAGTGCGGGGCACCAGTGCGGGGAGCCGCTGCCCCGCCGAGTCGGTCGGCCAGGTGGATGGATGGTGCGCGGGGGGGGGGGTCTATCAACATCGGGAGGTACCGGATGCAGACAGCTGACCCGCGATTGATGGGTCCGCTCGGGTCGTTGACTACCGATTTGATGGCCCCGGCGGCCTGCAGTGCAATGATGAACTGAGCTAGGATCCAGAGCTGTCGACTCGCTGACGGCTGCTGACGCTCCATATGAGACAATGGTAATTAATTGATTGATAAGTTCAATGTTTCGGGGCACTGAAATAGTTGTTTTTTCCTAACTTAATCTCTTGTGGAATGGTAATAATAGAATTAGCATGTTTCGCAATGTCGGCACAGCCCATCATCATAGACGGAGCATGTGAGTCGAGTTCAGCCATTTTCGGGAAGGTTTCCGGCTGGCCGGGCCGTCCTCTCTTTTCCGCGCACCGAGCCGGCAGCCACTTAGACTATTATTGCTTCAGACATAACGCATGAGCTCACAATGTGATTCGCGAATGAAGCCACCCGTTGCCTCCCGGATATGTGCTCACTGAGAGGCGAATTGGGGCCTCAGACGGGGCCCTTTGCCGAGCTCGGGGATCAGTGCCGTCAGACGCTTTGTCGGCGGATGCCGCTCACATACAGCATGGGCTGCTTTATTGTTGTGTGCGCTGCGACACATACATATGTCATCTGACATTTACCGACAGTGCATAGCGTAAAACACGCTAAAAAGATGATGAAAATAATTGTACGAATGTTATCTGTCGTAACTAGTGAAGAGAGTATTGCAGTCAATCCCAGTTACCCCTATCACATGTGGTGGTGGTGGGGGGGGGGGAGATTCGCCCCCCACCTGTAGTTTTTTCCTCTCGACGGAAAACCACTCAACCCGCGCACCGACGGGGGTCTGCGCCAACTTCGCACCGACGGGGGGGGGGGGCGGATGGCCGCCCCCCTGAGATCTCGAGAACGAAGCAAGATAGCGACAAGCGGCAAACGGCATCGGATACGCACGGTCAAGATCTACAATTTTTACGAAGGTCATTTTCAGGTCAGGTCAAAGATGACGTCACAGGGGTCGAAAAAGTCAAAATGGCGGCGCTAGATATAGAGAGTTTTTCTCGAATAACTTTCGAATTAGTCAAGATAGGAACAAACTAAGGGCATCATCGTAATCCTCTCGTCAATCCGCATCAAATGATATATATGTTGACCTCGAAAGGTCAAGGTCAAAGGTTGACCTCAGGCCACGTGCATGTATATCATTCGATGCGTCTTGACGAGCTGAACACAATGAGACCATCCACGCGTCTGTATCTTGTTCCTGTACGGAGTTATCCCGCGCCCTGGTGGGGTCTGTTTATAACGCGACCTGATGGGGGGGGGGGGGGGGGCTATTTTTTGCCCCCCTCGTATCTCCGAAACTACTGGACGGATCCACAAAATTCAAACGGTGTTCGAAAGGCCTGTCAAATTTGTCGAAGGAAACCAAATTTCATTGACCTCGGGGTCACCGATGACGTCACAGGTCAGGTCAAAGATGAAATGTTTCACCGTTCACGGGTCTTCTAGGGAATGCGCTATAACACCGAGGAAAACGCATTTTGTCGAGAATCAGCGGTAGGACGTCAGTTGCCTAGTAGATATGTTGCTATTAGAGGTCACTGGCAATACCAGGTCAGGTCACAGGTCAGGTCACATGAGCCCAACTTTACTAAGGTTGTGTGATACATGTTTTATGGCCAATTTTTCATTTCCAACTCAATGGTGTTGGTTATAAGACTATCAGGTACGGCTTAGGTCACTTTCTGGTGAAGTTCAGGTCAAGTTCAGGTCAAGATCAGGCCAAAAAAGGTCAAATTTTAAAGTTGATAGTTTTGCATAAAATGGGTATTGATTCGATGCAGCTCGTCACGGGGAGTCTAATGGTGGTCTTTGTTTTGCGCTACGGGGTCTAGAATTGCTAAAAATTGAGTTTGAAAATTTGACGTCATCAATTTTGAACAGTTTTTTCGCTATAACTTCGCCAAAAAAGAGGTATCAATCTCAAATTTGGTATGTGGATGGAAGGCGGTAAGGACTATCACATATATTCCGGTTTTTGCGAAATTCAAAAAACTTTTTGGATTTTTCGATAATTATATCCAAAAAGTTTATTTTTTGATTTTTGGGGGTCAAAATCCAAAAATTTCAAAAATGCGAGATAGCAATTTTGTAGCCCTGTCTAATCTACAGCTTTTATGTATTTATCATTTTTCTGTATTTGCAAAGCCTGACAGCTCTTCCCGCGAAACCCTTTTTTGGGTCGAAAACGGCAGAACATGACGTCACTCTGACGTCATTTTCGGCCAACCTATCATAGCCTTTGGAAAATTTTTTGGTCACAATGTGTAAAATTGATGTCCGGGAGGGTACTGAAAGTTTGGTGACGATCGGCGCAGCGGTTCTGGAGATATATCGAAAAGTCTGGAGGGGGGGGGGGGCAAAAAATAGCCCCCCACCAGGTCGCGGGTTATTGGCCAAAAACCTTTGGTGACCTTTGATGACGTCACATGACCTCACAGCTGCCCAACAGCAAAACAGACCTCAAGGTAGTGAAGGTTGATCGTATATGAAGTCATGTATGGTATATGGGGCCATTTCGACCCGTTTTAGTGGTAAAAACAGGAAGTTGATTTTCCCCCATTGACTTATAATGGCGAGGTCGCGAAATTGACCTGACCATAGGTCACCGATATCAAAATTCCGAGATATAGAAATTGTAGCTACTAATGACCTAATAACATCCTGCGACTTTCAAAGGCCTCCGACATCTACTGTAGCTCTGGCACGGTGACAAAGTTGCAAAAAAGTGACTTGAGGTTGGGTCATTCAAAGTGACCTGGTGACCTGACCTTAAAAGGTAGGAGGTTCAAACTTGCACACCATGTGTAAAATTGATAAGGAAATAGTCATACCAAATTTCGTGGCGCTACGCGCCACGGTTTTCCCGCTATTGGCGAAAAACCTCAGGGGGGCGGATATCCGCCCCCCCCGTCGGTGCGCGGGTTAAGCTAGGGGCTCGAAATTTGATGACTTTTCCTTGCTATTCATTGCGCACATTGTGTCATATTTTTTAGTTTCTAGCTTGCGCAGAGGCGTCTCCAGGACGAGTTTCTCGGAGGTAGTTTTGGTCCAGCTCTGACTATTCCGACATTTGCCGCTAGGCAGCGACTTACTTAGGTTTGTACCTACTGGTGATCAGTGGCACCATCCGTCATATGTTTGAGCCTGTAGACTATGTGACGTCATTTTACAATGAAAATATTGGAATAGGCGGATCCAGGTACCGGAGAAAGGGGGGTAAACATCAATGCACTGCTCCCCGTCCTAGCGTGCCTGAATCCACCTATGATGAACGAAAACGTGTATTTTGTGCCCACGATGATATTTAACATGATATATGACACATCATGTCATAAGACACATGACATACTATGACAAAAATGTAATTTCATGTAATTACATTTTTGTAATGTGTATGTAATTTCAAAGTCTGCAGTTTCGGGTTCTAATGGGCTAATGCATTTGAATGCCTCTTAGACTCTGTGACGTCAACGCAGGTCTAGTGATTTTTAAATCTTATCTAACAGAGTGGTAAAAGACAATCAATCGTTGCTTCGGTTGTATATGCTACCGTGCGCGCAACATCTTTCGCACTTTTACGATACCTAACAAATTATCGCTTACAAATGACGTCATAGGAAGAACGGAGGCCCCCAAAGCCCAAAATCATAGAGATCTAAGATCTCTATGCCCAAAATAGCCGAAATTAAAATTAAAATATCTCAAAAACCGGTGAATATTTTTAGTGAAATTAGGTTGATATTTAGGTATTTTTGCGCTTTCTGAACTACGGTATATCACTTTTACGCTAATTCATTAACTTTTCAAGGCGGGTGGGTCCTTTTAACTGTTTTGAAGCAAAACATTTTTTCAACCTTCTAAGCCGTTGTTGCGCCATTTTCTGTTTGTGAAAGCATATTTCTGATGCTCCCGTTGTAGAGATTGACGTGAAACGTTTGAAAAAAAACGTTATATTACTTTTATGTCACCTCCTACAAGAACCAAAGGAGAGAGAGAGAGAGAGAGAGAGAGAGAGAGAGAGAGAGAGAGAGAGAGAGAGAGAGAGAGAGAGAGAGAGAGAGAGAGAGAGAGAGAGAGAGAGAGAGAGAGAGAGAGAGAGAGAGAGAGAGAGAGAGAGAGAGAGAGAGAGAGAGAGAGAGAGAGAGAGAGAGAGAGAGAGAGAGAGAGAGAGAGAGAGAGAGAGAGAGAGAGAGAGAGAGAGAGAGAGAGGAAAAAAGAAAGAGAACGAGAAAGAGAAAGAGAAAGAGCGACAGAGGAGAAGAGAGGAGGAGGAGGAGTTATTTCCTAGTTATTCATATATGCTCGAAAATGAGGGAAAGATAAAAATAATGATAACGCAATTAAGTTTTCCACTTTTATGATGCCGCTCTCTCTTGCATGCGGGCACGGACAGGTACACAAGGGTATAAACCGTAGATTGTTTGCGCCCGCCCCCCCCCCCCCCCAGTTTACATTATTTGTTGAGCACAGACAGCTCGCGGGACTCAACGTATTTACGTACTGCCACAGCAGTGTTGACGTTTGTCGGGTACCGGTCAATATTGACCATTTAACAAATAAAACACTCTGCAGTCGTGCTGTTTGCGTGACTGTACCG